CAGCTGGGGAGGGTGCAGGTGTAGGGGAAGTAGCTGTCGACTCCTTAGGTGTACCCACACCAGGATAGACTGGCATGGCGACTGGTGTAGGAGCAGGTGTAGGCGTCGGTGTAGCCATCTCCTCATCGTCGGAGATGATCACAATCTCCCTCTCCGCCTGTGGGGCACGCGGGGTGAACATGGCACGATAGCCGGCGGTGCTGAGGCGAGCAGTCTTCGGATTATGAGACATCTATAGATTTAAAGTGAGATAGAATTAGAATCAACAATTTTAAATAATAGATTAAGGTATGAAAAGCATAAATGTTTTAATAAAATAACAAGAATAAGTCAGTAAGCAAGAAACCAGAGGAGCAAAGATGCTAAAACGACCATTTTCTAACTAGGCTTGCGTCCTACAGTCAACACGGCTCTGATACCAATTTGTCACACCCAATTTTAAGGATAAAATTGAATGCAGAAAACTCGTGTGTGCCCAGGAATCAATCACACACACAAGCTGACAAATTACATAAAGTATCATCACGGTGTCTCATAAATTAGAGTTATAATAAAACTTAGTCTTATACATCACAGCGGAATAATAGAAAGATAATAAAACTCTCGTGGGCGTCATCACAGGGAAGGTCAACTGGTTGACCACAAGCCTAATAATCCTCCGGGAAATCCTCATACCCGTTGTCATCTGTTACCCATCCGGGATTTTTATCCAAGTAAACAAAATAAACAAGTGTAAGTACATTCCGTACTTAGCAAGCTAATATGGGGTTATGAAGCTAAAAAAGATAGACTCTGGTTTACTGCAGTTAGCATTTTTAAATAGGTCAAGCTTTTATTCTCAAGTATTATCAAGTTATGCTTAAGCTCACATTTAATTCCCATAAGAACATATATCAGAGTCATGTGTACCATATATCATCATTAAACAACTTTATAAGATCATCATCAAGTATCCAGTTATTCTGTGAGTTTTCCGGGCCGCTCGTAACCGTGAGCATGGCTGTTATAATAGTTTGTTACCCTCTGTAGAGGTGGTGCACATTCACCGCGAGTCGTGATCCCCATATGCCCGGGTTAATTACTCCCATGTCACTACCAAGGTGAGCGGGCAGGGTACACTATGAAGCCATTTTATAGGTTTCTCTAACAAGTTAGGACCGCTAGGTTTCCTTGGCAGGCAGATGTAGGAACCCCCCTTTCCTATGGCACATATCCATCACGGCTATACACATAGGAACAGAGGCAGCCCTATACCCAACGTGGCAAGCCCCATTTACGCCAAAAAGGTAACCTCTAACTAGCTAGAAAAGGTCCTATTGCTGAGCTAAAGTCAGAGCCATATGACTCTCCCGGTTGCACTGTCAGTCCCAGCTTTTGCTGACAGATAAGTCCTTATGGAGGGCCGGGAGCAACATGAACAAAGGTATTTGCACTTTCACCCTATGGAACAGTTGTTATAAATCATGTTACTCACTTTGTTCCATAGTATCATTCATCGACATGTATATCAAGTTCAATTAGAGCACTAGCAATCTACCCATATGCATTTAACCCATAGGAGACAAGGAACAGGATAAACAATCACTAGGATGTCCTTACGGGTATCAAAATTAGACACATGCAAATGAGTAATTGATTAAAGTGAAATAGGACATCAAGGAAGGCCCATGCTATACTTGCCTTGGTTCACAAACTCGTGCTGGTCCTGCTGGTCGTCGAAGAGTTCTTGGTCTTCCACGTTTTCCTCACTGTCTGAACGCGATCAACACAGCAACATGCAACATTCCAAAAGCATTCATGCAAAGCAAACATTCCTATCATTAGAACAGTACACCAATAGTATTGAAATCAAGATAAAATGTTTGTAAAACTAATCTACGTCTCGCTACGATCACGTCAACGCGAAGTTCATGAAAAACGGAGCTAAAATGCGAAAGTTATGATTTAAACGGGTTTTCCTATAGCCATATATTTAATTAAATCTAATCATGAAATTAAAAAGTTCCAAACTTGACTAACAGTAGCTCCAACATGTAGCTTATGAAATTACGAAGCTAACGCGATTTGAATGGATCAATTCGGAGCTAAAACGACAATTTTATAAGCAAAACAGTTCAAATGGAATTTCTGTAATTACTGAAAACGTATTTTTGACTTAAGCCGTGGAGTTTACGCTTTCCAAACAGGATTGCGCGTTCGGGAAATACGCTTTGGGCTACGGGTTAGGACTTAGAAAAGTCCAGGGACTCTTTAGCAAAATTACCCGCGAAGGGGTAACTTCTAATCCTGGCCGTTGATCTCGCGATGGGCGGCTAAGATTAGACCGAGGAGGGACAAAAGGGGGGGCTGGCCGGAACAGGGTCTCTGGCGGCCAGGCGCCATGGCCGGCGGCAGTGGACTCGCCGGAGCGCACGGTTAGGGGCCTACGGGCCACGATTTTCCAAACCTAGGGCACCAGGAGGTGGCACGGGTTCATGCGAACTCACCTAGGCCGGAAGAGTGGCCGGAGGGTGCAGCCGTGGCGGCGGTCGCCATGGCCGGCGGCAAGGAGCCCACGGTCACACGCGAAACGAAGTCAAACGGCCATGAAACACGCTAAAAATTGCACGGGAAGACAGAGGGGATCGAGGGGGTTCTCACAGAGGGGAAAAACAGGGTCGGAGATGGCTCAGGGAAGGCGGGTCATGGCGGTTCCGATCTCGGCGGACGGCGGAGCTTCTCCGTCGACGGTGGCGCCTCGGCGCGAGCGAGGGAGAAATTGGAGCGGGAGAGAGAGAGACACGCTGGGGGCTCGGCTTCTTAAAAAAGCCAGCGTGAGGAGGGGCGCCCCATGACGCGAGAAGGCCGGGCAAGCGGCGGGCGTTGTTCAGAGACGCTGTGGCGTTCTTGAAGTCGCTGTGTGGGGTGAAGACGGGCGCCGACAAGCGGCCCGGGCGGTCGGTCGTGGGTGGCCCATGAGCGTGGCGGTTGCCTAAGCAATTGGCTGGGCAGCAAGCTATGCAGCTGCTGAAATTTGGGCATGGAAAGGGAGAGGGGAGCTGGGCCGGCGGTTGCCAGGGAATAGCTCGCGGGCCGAAAACAAGTTAGGGGAGGAGATGTTCATTTTCCTTTTTATTTTCCAAACAAATTTTCCCAAAGGCATTTTCAAATAATTTTTGAATTCCTTTGCACTTTAATTCAAGAACAACCATCACATGAATAAATATTGCAGCAGCATGTATGCATCAAAAGTTTCAAATCTTATAATTGATTTAATTCCCCAAAAATTATTAGTTTCCTATAATTGAATGCACACTTAATAACATAATTAAATCAAATTTACTTATTTTAAAAGAATGAAAAATTTTGGGTGTTACAACATCACGTTTCTGGAAGAGTTCGTGTCAGCGGCTCTAGGGAATTATCTGCAATGGTATAAATATCTCGTAATAATATTTATTTGTTTAAGAATGATCAATTCCTAGTGTAATATTCAATTCCAACCTCGTTTAAGTTCTTACTGTCACAGATTGATCCGAAACATGATTCACATACTGATTAGTGTGCAATATTTAGTTCTAAGAGTTAAAGCCGTACCTGTCACAGACTAATCTGGAATAACAGTCACAAACTGTATAGAAATAAGTACTTTACATATCCTGTGGTCCATCTTATTTTATCTATATGTATTTACTGAAATATTAATTCCACTTTTCTTTCAGTATGCTCCAAACCCTTCCATGTTTTCTACTCATAAATAAATTAATTTTGATTTACAACTTTGATAGGCATATATTATTCTGATAACTATAATCCAAAATTCATTTGTCATTTGTACCTTATAGTCTTCAAAATTATCTTCTCCTTACAGCAAAGCAATCTTAGGGAAAATGATTTAAGCGGGATGAGGAGAGTCTGTCACAATCAGGAAGCACAAGGTCAAATTAGGTTTGAAATCTTTTTTCCAGTTTTTATATATGTCATGCTCTAGACTATCCTATCCGAACCATAGCACTTTACTTGTTCTCAAGTTCCAAGTTCAGAGTTTCAAAAAAAAAGTTTCAACATTCCAAGGATCAGGACACGGACAGCTCATCTAAGTTGTATAGTGCAGCTGCATATAGCTGTCTAGGTGATTTATTTACATTTTTTCTCATGGAAACACTTTTGTGGAGGGGGATTTAGAATTCAGCAGATGAGAAAGAGGATTAAAAACATTGTAATTTCAGGTCGCCGGAGGAGCTGAGCTGCTGCACTTCGACAATTAGGTAAGCTGGTAGCAGTGCATCGGTAGCCTATCTGCTCATGGAGTTGCAGCTTTCATTTGCTCGCACAGGCAAGGGCAAAGTGCTAGCATTTTGTCATTCATGTTACAGAATACTCCGAGCAGCGGTTTAGTATGCTTTTGTGAAATGTCCTATCATGATGCAGTGGATCCATCTTTTAATAATTTCTGCTTTCATGCTTTTAGTAATTATTTATTCAATACTTGATAGCTTCTTAAGTTAGCTTTTTGTGCATGGTTGAAATGGGACAAAACAAAGGGCAGACTTTTCACATTTTATTTATGACCTCTGTTTCAGTTCTAATCAGCCTGTGTATACGACTTAGTTCTTGATTGTTTCACTAGTGTCATGGTATGTCGGCCCGTTTATTTAATTCAAGTTAACTGGACACTACTATATATAAAGTTAATTTTCAATCAAGCAAAACAATAACAGTGATTTTTCCTTCCTAAATGTTAGAAAAAATAAATTATCATACATGTTAATTTTATATCTTATTTAATGTAAAGAACCTTTTGGACTATTTTTGTTCGTATATATGTGTCATGCTCTAGACCATCCTATGTGAACCATAGTACTTTACTTGTTCTCAAGCTCCAAGTTCAAATAACATTACAAATATGCACTTTAGTCAAATTGTTACTATTCGGTTATACTTGATTCTTATTTGTGAATTATCCTATGCTTTATTCTTATTTTCCTATTGATGCTATATTTTATTTAGATTGTGCTACCATGACGGTGGATAATTGGACCATAAATCTGGAATGCGATGGGAAAGCTGAAGGACATAAACATGTGCAAAGAGAAATGGATAGAGTTGAGATATGCTTTTTCGACTTGATTGATCTGATCGAGGGTTCTAGGTACACATCAATCGATTATCTATACTACAAGAGAAAAGATAGCTTAGTTGTAATACAATAAGATTCTGATGTGATGGAAATGCTCAACAAGTGTGAGAGGGAAAAGACGGTTAATTTGTTTCTGACGAGGCAGATACTAGCCACTTTAGCGCCTACCAAGTCCAACAAAGAACCATCCAAATCTAAAACAAAAAAATAAATATATTAGAATGAACATATAATTTACTTTTCTATGCATATTTGATTATTCAAGGACAACTATTCCAAGTCATGTTAGTTATCAATGATTTATTTTCATCCAAGATTAGCATATCCAACCCCACCGTGGTATGTGACTTAATAAATACAATCTTGATAGTCTAATACAAATATCTAGTTGTTTAATAAAAAGATTACATATTGTTTATTATATTTACTATAAACACGTGTTCATGTACCCAACATTTGTTTAGCAGGAAGAGGAGGTACAAAGAAAAAGAAAGGATTAAATGTAATGCATACTGAAGCACTATATGCTAATGAGGTTGAGCAGCATGATGATGAGAACCAGAACACATCAGGTACAAATGTAGTTAGATCAATCTCATTCATATGGACTGTATCTTAACCAATTATTATCACTATCATTCTATTTTTTAATAGGTGATGGCGATGAAGTACCTGGTAAACGAAAGGGGACCATTTTAACACATGTTAGGGATCTACTTGTAGGAGATTGGATAGTAGTAAGATGTAATATGCTTGGACAATCCATTGGAAAAGAAGGTGGCCTTTGAGGACAATTTTTGGGCACCATAGCAAGAAATGGTGGTTACTGTCCTGTTGGTGCCAAAGATTGGAGAAAAGTTAAGAAAAACAATGCACAAACCATAATTCAATTCATCCAAGTTAGGTAAATTTTACAAGACATAATGTTTTTATAAAATTAAGTATATATATGCTTGTTATCATGTCATGAAGTCAAATTCATTCATTAGTGACTTTCTTATTTTAGACAAAGTTCTTATATCCTCGTTCATATGAGAAATGGATATTGAAATCAATTGGAGGAGATTGGAGAAAATACAAGGCAACATTAAAAAAGTCACTATTTAATCCAAAGAAGAAAAAGTCTGTTTTGAATAAGCGTTGTCCAGATGATATGGATGAAGATCAATGGAAGGCCCTAGTAAAATATTAGAAGTCTAGTGAAGGACAAGTAAGGCACCATTATTAACGCTATTTGGCTTTTTTTTACTATAACTATCTATACCATAATTGATTTTTATATGTATAATGGTTCATTATCTATTAATTTACTTTTCTTGTAGACCCTAAGTGAGAAGAACAAAATAAGTTGTTAAATGAAGAAGATAACACATACAGCCGGTACAAAGAGTTATGCTCGTTGGTCTGTGGACATGATGAGTCATCTTCTGTTTAAAAAAATTATATATGATTCTTCTTACTTTTCCTTTACTGCTATTTTTTTAGAGGCAAACTGATCCTAAAAAAACAGCCACATAGAGCAAAGGTTTACCTCACAACTCACAGGAAAAGGGGAAAAGGGATAAATAAACCAGTGGTATGCTACATGCACATGAGAATTTTTGCAAATATAAAATTATTTTTGTTTTCTAATGTGCCGATTTCTTGCTTGTAGGTTGAACTAGAAAATCTCCTAGACACACAACCAGCGTTAGCGCAAAATAGTGAGGGAGGAGTTGCATGGGAAGGTGATGCATTACATCTGGTGTTGGGAGAAGAGAAAGCTGGACAAGTGCACGGCATGGGATTGCTTCCGGTTCCTAAACAAGTTTATGGTCGAAGAAGACACCATTTTAAGGACATTAATATAGTTTCACTAGATGGCTCATCATCTGATGTAGAGACTCACATGTTGGAGGAAATAAGGCAACTCAAAGAGCATTCTAGAATGCAAGACAAAGTAATTGAAGAACTAAAAAACAATCAAAGGCACCATGAGAACCAAGAAGCAACAATGGTAACAATGTACATTTTAATTTGTAACTTCGTATTGAAATGTGTTACTCAAACTTTATTTCTTTTCTAGGGAAATTGTGCTAGGAGTGATCATAACAATTCTCAGAATCAAGCGGTGCTTTCTAAAAGAAAGGTATTTGCTCTATTTTCCATGTTTTTACCTAATTTAGTCTTTTGGCTTTAATATTGTTTCAAATTTTTAGAGAGTTCACTGTGTTGCACCAAACCGGAATGATGGATTCCTTGAACACAGGGATGAATTAGTAAAGTCATTTTCTTGTGAATTTAATACTATTTTATTCACAAAGGATTTTTTTTATACTAACTCATGCTACTGTCTTTTTTCTCTTTACTAGAATAAAGAAACATGTGTTTGAATATAGTGATGATGATAGTCTACTTTTATCCACCACAAGTAAAACAACAAAGAAACAAAAGTTATCTATGAACCACACTTTGCTGTATTTATAGAGGAATTTTTGTCTTAATATTTCATACTTCATTTTATATGTGTAAGGGTCATCATGGAGGGCCTGGAGAGACTACGACCATTGCACACCAGGAGGTGGCTCATGACAAGGTTACATGCAACAAGCGTCAAGCACCTAAACAACTTCCTATAATGAAGGTAGATGAACATAATACACTTGTTCTAATTGCATGATCTTGATGTACAACTAAGGGTTGTTGGTCACTAAGAGATTATGCCAAATTAATGTAGGTTGGGTCCATGGTGCTACTAATGACTTCAAAATATCCTAATAAGGCTAATATGGCCTATGCAACTCTCTTCAGCACTAATCCAGAAGCCATTGTTGGTGGAGTTAAGACAGGAAGTCAATTCTACAAAGTGCGTATCGATCATGCTATAGCAAAAGATGAGCCATTAGTGAGGCCTAGGCCTGGGTGCAACAATATTGGTGATGCTCAAGCCAAAGGAGTCTCAATTGCTTGGCCTTCGATGTTTGTATATTCAAACTAGCTTTCTTAACTTACATCATTGTACATATGTGGCCTAATTTGTAATCTTACAACTTACATTTTCTTTGCAGGTTCAAATGATTAAAGGTTGAATTCCTACATCGATGTGTACAAAGAATAATGGAAGAAGAAGCAATGGACTTTATGAATCCTAGCTAGTTCTTGAATTTTTCTTTCTAGTATGGACTATGTGTGTTTGCTCTCTAGAGCCATATCGTTATGTACAAATACTATGATTTAATATGAACAAGCACTATGTTTGAAATCATCCTACTATATGTGGATCTTGTTATGATTGTTGAAATTTGTGGTTTATGTGATTTTGCAATGTGTCATGTTTGTTTGATTCTATAATAATCCGTGTGCTACATATATAGGCGAAACAAATATTTGTTTCCTAATCTGAATATGTTACAATAGATATAAACAAGTGTTACAAATCATGTGTTCCTTTGTTCCATAATGTGCTCTATCATAATGTAGAAGTGTTACTAGAACTAAAAAAAGTGTTACAACAGACAATCACTATAACACTAGGCAAATGTTCCCATAGATAAATAAATGTGTTACAAACTATGTATTCCACCATAATGTGAAGTGTTACTAGAGAAAAAAAGTGTTACAGCAAAAATCATTGTAACACTAGACAAATGTTCCTATAGATAAGTAGATGTGTTACAATAAACCAGTCTATAGTAACATGGCCAATTGGAACACAAAAAATGTGTTACTAAGAGAGCTAGTAACACTTTTTCCAACCTACAGTAACACAAGTTGGTGTTACTGTATCCCTATGCTGTTGTAGTGCGCTGACAGGGGGGCCGGCCGGCCCCACCACTAGGCCGGCCGGCATGTAGGGCCCACCTATCCAGCTCCCCTTCGAATGTCGGTTGTCCATCGGCTCCTAGATTGCATCTACGCCGTCCTTCAAAGTCGGTTTGATGCGAGGGTCCAAAATTGATGCTACCCCCTATATATATAGCCCTGTACCCCCTCAAGGGGCGCCATCCTGAAACCCTAATTCATATCGTCCTCATCAGGGTTAGAGCCAGCTCTCAAGATGTAGAAGTAGAATAGCTCTAGTTGAGAGTTAGGGTGAGTTGAGGCATGCTCAGGTTCTGGAGAAATCTTCGGAGGTCGGGTATATCTTTGTATCTCACCTTTGTAAGACTTATGCTTTAATATAGTTATCTTCTCTAATTACTTTTGTAACACCCTAAAATTTGAATTTTTGGAAATAGAGCTAAAAATATTTAAGTTGGAATTTTTGTGCTCATAAAATATAGGAAAATAAAATTTTTCATTAAATTAAAATTCATCATAAGGTTTAGCAACATGTTTGTGCATACATGCCCTTGCATTTGATGTATTTGATTGAGTGGTTTTGACTGAAAACTCAAAATGGTTTAAATTGCTTTTGCAAAAGAAATTAAAAATGGTTTTGAAATAAAAGAAAAGATAATTTGAAAATAAAAGAGTTTAAAAAGTTGTCAAATTTATTTTTGAAAGCCTACCGAAAATTTCTGTTTTATTTGAGTTGAAAATGTATATTTGGAAACATATTCGAATTTGATTTGGTTTACATTTGAATTTGGTTTTTAAAAAAAAATAGAAAAAGATTTGGAAAAAAAGAAAACCCTCTCTCCTCCCCTCTCTCCCTTTCGGCTTGTATGGCCCATTTTGTTTTCCCCACCGGCCTGTTCTCCTCCCACCGGCCCACCTTCTTCCCTCTCTTCTGACTTCTCCCACCACCTGGGCTTCTCTCTCTTGGCCCACCTGCTCCTTCTCTCCCGTGCAGCCCAGCAGCCGGCCACTCATGCTTCCGCTTCCGTCAGCCCATCCCTTCTTTCCCCACCTTGGCTTTGTCCCACGCTAGTGCGCCGACCCAGCTCTTCCTTCCCGTGTCTGGCCCAGCAGCGCAAGCGCGCGCTCCTCCGTCTCTCTTGGTGTTGCCTCCTACCTCGCTCAGTCATCGACGTGGACTCTACCGCCACTGCCATGCACTCCATGCCCACGCCGCTCCCGTCTCCTCGATGCCGTGCGCCACAAGTTCCTTTGCCCCATAAGTAGCAGCCGAGCCCCGCACCGTTTTCCCCGAACCTGAGAGCATGCTGCCCTCGCCTCAAGCCATGCCCTAGCCATCGAGTCATCGTCGCCCACCGAGCATAGCGCTGTCTCCGGTGCTTGGAGGTCCCCACCAGTGCCCTAGGTGAGCTCGCCTCAACCTCCTCTTCCACCCTGTGCTTTTCCCATTGAAAATCATGCACCATAGGCCATGTTTCGAGTTTCACCACCGAGCTCCCTTTGTTGGCTATGGCGCCGCCGCATTTGACCTCGCCGCCGGCCGACCGATCCTCTCACTCTCCCTTCTTTTCAATCTAAGCCGCTCCTCTCTAATCTAACAGTCCAGATCTCCTCTTACCCCTTCGCCTGGCATAATTTCTAAAGAGCCCCTCTAGTTTTCCATTTCAAACCCGCAATCCATAGCAATTTTTTGGAATCCGTTTTCTTCTTTGGAAAGCATAGTTTCTTCGGTTTAGATCCAAAATACGTTTTCACTTATTTACAGATTTGCCACTGATTTTGTTTCAGCCGTAACTTCTCCGTTTTAACTCTGATTTGACCTGTTCAAATTGCGTTAGGTTTGTAATTTCATAATCTACATGTTCATACTACTGTTAAGTAGGTTTTAAACTTTTAAAATTCATGATTAGATTTAATCTATTATTTTATTAAAGGAAATCTTGTTTAAATCATATCTTCTACGTTTTAACTCCATTTTAGCCCATTCAAGTTGTGTTAGATTCATAGCGACAAGATCTACGCGTTAGTAATAGTGGTTACCATGTCACTATTTCTGGAATTTCATGGTATAAACTCTAATTTGAATAATAATTATGCAACTGGATTTTATAGATAAAATATGATTTGTTTTAGTCTAGTTTTATAACTCGAATCTAAATTCGATTTAACTCAATTTATATAAGCTTTTATATAGTCAAAATAAATAAAGCCTATAGTTTTCTTTTCCGCGTATAAAGCAAATCTTTCGGTAGTTGTATCTTTTCAACCGTAGCTCCGATTAGTGTGCTTTTCGCGTCTGTGTGTTCGTAGCGATGCGTAGAATCGTGTTTCAAACTCTTTTACTTATTTTTCTATGATTGGTGTACTATTCTGATTTAGTTCTATTGTTTGCTTCATGTATGATTGTATGGATGCTTGTGTGGTGCTTTATGATTACGTCCAGTCGGTGAGATATACGTGGTGATCTAGAAGAAGAAGAAGAAGAAGAACGTTGAAGATTAAAGCTTACCGAAGGATAGATGTTTTATGGCAAGTATAGCATGGAATCATCCTTGTTACCTATTCACCTTTAATCACTTAATTCATATTGCATGTGTCTACCTTGTTGCCAATAAGGATATCCTAGATATTTGATATCTTGTACCTTGACACCTTTTGGGTATTGCATTGGGTAGTATGATGCTAGTGCTCAACTACAACCATGATCTCGTAACTTGACTAATGGAATATGCAATAAACATTAAAAGATGTTTTTTAGCAACATGGAACAAGGGGGCTAGAGCATTAGGCTATTTTTATGGTGCTCTAGATTCCTCTCCCTAAGGACTTATCTATAAGTGATCATCCAGGACTTATAGTACAACCATGAGGACTACATGGCTCTAGTCTTAGTCTAGTACCTTGCTCTTTCTAGTTTGTAGCAGTTTATCGAAAGGGCAAGAGGGGCATACTAGGCTACGTATGGGCCTCATCCCCAGGGTGTGTACTATGCTGCGTTTATAAGTGCCACTTTTGTAGATGACTCCATAACAATTGAGAGATGGAATCCTTAGCGGCTGCTCCTTATTAGAATGACTGGGGAAAAGCTTCATAGTGTACCCTGCTTACTCACCTTGGAAGTGTTTTGGGAGTTGCAAACCCGGGCATATGGGTATCATGACTCATGGTGAAAGTGTACAACCTCTATAGAGTGTAAAACTGGTATATCAGCCGTGCTCACGGTCACGAGCGGCCTTGGAATCCTTACAGAATATATGATGATGAAACTGATGATACTGATGATAAAGATGCTCACTAATGATTACTATTTATGCTATTCATTATTCATGTTTACCTGATCATGGGCTTGTGATAAACTTGTTGCTACGCAATTGCTAAAAGATGACTCATTAAAAGCTAATCGCAGTTAAACCAGTGTCAGCCTTTTGAGCCTCATGAACCCTATGTTATATTTGTTGAGTACGACATGTACTTACGCTTGCTTTATTTTTCAATTATTTAGATAAAAATCCTGGGTGGGTACCAGATTGCTAGAGTTTGGAGGAATTAGGCTTGTGGTCAACCAGTCAGTTGTCCCTATGGATTTGGAGTCTTTGTCTAAAGATCGGAGTTGTCTTTTCACTGTCTATACTCTGAGGTTATAATCTTTATACTAATATGCTATGTATTTAAGCATTATCTTTTGATATTACCCTTATTTGTAGCTATATGTGAGATTTGACTTCCTGGGCTCACATATGGTGTGTATCTGGTTTTGTTCGTAAAACCGGGTGCTACAACTTTATGCCTTTCATGTGTATGGTTAGTATAGTTATCATACCTTATCATGGGATCTCTGCTTGCATCGAGTGCTTTAGTTATCATATGTGGCTAAAGTTGTAATCCATAGTATAGACATGGTGTCTAGACTATAGGTTACCTGAGATTGCGCTCAATCCTGCAGTTAGTTGTGGTAGCCCTAGGGGTGATAGCTCTGTTAGGCCATTGTAATCCACTACATTAGGATTGGTGTTCGTAGAGCTTTAGGCCGCCTTCCCCCAACTACGCTTTCTCACCCCCTTGAGAGTTGGAAAGGTACTATTGCTCTAAAGTGTTATTGTGTGTCATCGCTATATGTACCCATGAATTAGTTATACCCTATAGAATCAAAGTAATAGAGAAGTATTTAGGAACCTTGAACTCACCCGTTATCTTCTC